GAGCCCCGCGTCAGGCTCTGGGCTGATGGCTTGGAGCCTGGAGCCTGTTTCCGATTCTGTGTCTCCCTCTCTCTCTGCCCCTCCCCCGTTCATGCTCTGTCTCTCTCTGTCCCAAAAATAAATAAAAAAACGTTGAAAAAAAAATTTTTTTTTTAATTAAAAAAAAAAAAGAGAGATGGCCAGAATCTCGGGCCTTCATACTCCAGCGCACCTGGGACCTTCCGCCCAGACTGTCTGCAAAGCAGAAGCTGAGTCTTAAGCAATCTGCCGTGAACTCATCTCTCCCAGTTGTCATCCAGGGGGAACTGCGTGGCTGAGAACTTACCAGAGTTCTTCCTGGAGGTCTTCAGGTAGGAACCTAAGGAATCAGACCCAAAGGAGAGTCAAGGAACATGGAGGCAGAGGTGGGGCCTCTCTACATCCAGGCTTGTTATTAGGATTGGTGGGGAAGGAAGGTTTCGGGAGATGGTGGGGTTGGGAGGCACAGGAGGGTATAATGATCCTCTAGGACCCCAAGATCAGGGTTTCTGAATTGCGAATGGCACACTCACAGAAGGATCCAGAAGGATCCAGAGGTACCTAGTGATGACCATGGAATGCAAAGTTAGTACATGTCCCTCAACGACTCTCCAAAGGTCATAGACAAAATGGAATTGGAAGTGACCCTGGAAACCCTCTAGTTCAGATCTCATTTCACGTGTTGACAGCACTGAGCCAGAGAGGTAAAGACACCTATCCCGTGAAGCACAGCCTCTTAACTGCAGTACTCAACTCAAACCCAAATTCTGAGCCCACCAGATACCGGCGACCTCAGGAAGAGATTCTGAAGCGCACTCAGGGCACTGGCATCCAGGACGAGGGGTCATCACTGGAGGTGGTGGGGTGGGGCTCAGAGGAAGGCAGGTCCCCTGGAACAGAGGACCTCTCCACACCACCTTGGATAAATGACTCCAGCCCCAGGAAGAAGGAAGGTGCGTTTCCACACTTTACCTTCTGGAAAAATCTTACCTTGTCCTCTTTTGTTCAGAAGGCACAGAAGCACTGAAGGCACAATGACAACAAACAGAAAGAGCACGGCCAGCCCGCTCAGCAGCCCAGTGTGGCGGGGACGGAGGCCTGCTGCCGCGTCTGGAAACAGAAGACACAAGGAGACTTGGCTCTCAGGAAATAGGCCCATGGGCTTGCCCCCACTCAGGGGCACTATAAAAAATGGGGTCCCCTCCGGGGGGGGTGCCAAACTCCAAGGGAAACTCTCCTTTCTGCTATCGAAGGTCAGGATTAGACACGGAATCAGAGGGCCAAGCGGGGGCGACCTCCAGAACACCCCAAGTGCCTGGCCTATCTCGGACAGCTTTGGGCTCTTTGCCAGGTCCTCCTGGGGGGAGATGTCCCTGGAGACCGGGCCTGGCGTGAGGGAGGGACACTCCGCTGGGGAACGAGGCCCAGTTGAGGCCTCGCCGCTCGGAGGCTAAGGAGAGAGGGACAGAGCTGTTCACCTGCACAGAGCTGTCGGGCCAAGATGGAGTCGGAGCTGTTGCTGACAGGGTTCCAGGCTGTACACGTGTAAGTCAGCTCTTGGTTGTCAGGGGTCTGGAAGATTCGAACGACATTACCCTCTTTCCCCAAGGGGCTCCAACTGTATGTGACATTCCTTTCTTCCTCTTCCACAGAACACGTCAGTGTGACATTACAGGTGCTGTTGACAGATGCCATTAAACTCTGAGTAATCTTTGGCTTCCCAAGCCGACCTGGGAGGGGAAAACGCATGTGTCCGTAGTAAGCTGGAGCCGGCCTATACCAGCCTGTGAGAGCCAACTGTTAAATCTTCAGAAATGTTTTTAAAATGTTTTTAATGTTTATTTATTTTTGAGAGAGAGAGAGAGAGAGTGGGAGCGGGGGAGGGACACGGAGAGAGGGAGACGCAGAATCCGAAGCAGGCTCCAGGCTCCGAGATGTCAGCACAGAGCCCAGTGGGGGGCTCGAACTCGCGAACCATGAGATCATGACCCGAGTCGAAGTTGGACGCTTAACCGACTTAAGCCACCGAGGCGCCCCCAGAAATTTTTTCAAGAGGGCGGTTAAACACAGCCATCATGAAAAATTAAATTATAAAAACTTACAAAGAACTACATTGCATTTTTTAAAAAAGCTAATACATACTCAAAACTCACCGCTTTGTATTTTTTTGGACAATTACAATTATCTGTGCTTTTAAAGTTACTCACATCTGTCGTATCTGTCTTTTGTCACGCTTTACAAAGTCTTCCCAATTCTGCCTGTCTTAACATGAGCCACGCGCAATGGGAATATTTACACCGCAGAAATTGGCCAAGGTTACAAACTTGGGCTGGGCCGACTGCGTTGCTGATGGTCACTCTGGACTGAAGAAAACAGTAGAAGGATTACTAAAGCAGATTCGGCTGAAAAATGCCTCCAGTCTGCAGCCGTTACATTGTGAACAGCACCAAAAAACGAGGAAATCTTCTTCCGGCGTCTGAGAACGGTTATCCAATTCAGAAGTTGCTCACATCGATGTGCAAGTGAAGCTCTGTAATGAGTTTGTTGAATCACTTTTTCCTCATCGGTTAGTGTAACGAAAATACCAACCAATATTCCTGTTGGCTTCTTCATCGATTGCAACGTAGGTTGAGTGGCATAAATGTCCAGGAAAAATCTGTGAAAGCATCTGCAAATAAATTGGCTCTATGGGATTTACAGTAAAGACTCCTGTATATTTTATTATCATTTATGAAATTGTGTGTCGCACATCCTCTGTGTCAATAAAATCTCTGCGTGTGAGCACGCACATACGGGCCATCGAGAACCCGCTGAACATTTATCAGCACCCCACTGCACGAAACAGTCTTTAAAACCATTTGGGGGGGCACCTGGGTGGCTCAGTCTGTTGATTTCGGACTCTTGATTTCGGCTCAGGTTACGATCTCACAGTCTGTGGGATTGAGCCCCGAGTTGGGTTCTGTGCTGACAGTGAGTAGCCTGCTTGGGATTCTCTCTCTCTCTCTCTCTCTCTCTCTCTCTCTTTCTCTCTCTCTCTCTCTGTCCCTCCCCAACTCACACTTCCTCTCTCTCAAAAGAAATAAGCATTTAAAGAGGTTTTTTTACTCTGTTTTCTGGTGTATTTTCATTAAGTTGTTTTGTTTTGTTTTGAAGTGCCCATGGTGAAAAGTTACAGCCTCTCTCTCTTTTTTGGGGGGAGTTGACTGTACGCCTCTTTTATTTTTATTTATTTTTAATATAATTTATTGACAAATTGGTTTCCATACAACACCCAGTGCTCATCCCAACAAGTGCCCTCCAGTTACAATCTCTTTAAAAAGTTCACTAAAAAAAAAAAAAAAAAAAAAAAAAAAAAAATGTTTTTACCAAAGCACTCGAAAGGTAAACTGTACAAGTTGTAGGCTAGGAAAGGGTTAACTGAAGAACAATTTATATTTGGTTTGAAGTAAGAGCTATCTGGGGCCAGCAGAAGGAAGGGGGAAGATCTTCTCTCTTTTACCAGCAGATAAGAAAACGCCCACATTCAGAGTTGGTAAATTTAGTTCATGCTTGGCCAAGCTGCGGTGCTGGGTTTTTTCTTTCCACCATAGTCACGTGGGAAGGGCTCAGAAGGAACCAGCATGTAGCTTTCTAATTCATGTGGTGTTTCTAAAGTTGTCTGTGCATGTGAGGGAGAATATGGGAAGTAAGAAGTTGTAAAGGCTTCTTACTCCAACCTCACCAGAAACCCTGGTCCTAAGCAGAGGGGTCCTCTCAGAGGGGTCTATTCCAAAGCAGAATTAGTGGTGACTTATGAAAAAACTCCCAACGAGTTTGAAGTAACCTTGATGAGCTATAAAGGTGACAGATACAGATGTATACAGCAAAAAAATAAGCGTGTGTGTGTGTGTGTGTGTGTGTGTGTGTGTGTGTCTTTAGAAACTTGATTTACAAGAATGTTGAAGTCTCTGCTTGGTATTTACTTATTTTTAGAAAGACCATTTTTTAAATTTTTTTGCTGGGTGTTGAAGTGGGGAGGACTGGTAATGAATAAGAGCCTATCTCATTTTTTTTTCAGCAGGAACAGAGAGGTTACCAGAACCAAGCTGCTGGGCAGAGGTCAGAGCTGTGGTCGCGAGTGGGAAAGCCACTGGAGACCCGTGTCTAACCAGGCTCTACTGCTTTCTAGAGTGAGGACACATACAGCTTCGCTGAACCTTCACTCTGTCATTTACAACACAAGGATGCTTTGTTCCTGCCAGTGTTGTTTGTTGTGAGGACTGAATGAGCTATTGTATATAAAGAACACTCTACTTTTGGGATGAGCACTGGGTGTTGTATGGAAACCAATTTGACAATAAATTTCATATATTGAAAAAAATTAAAAAATTAAAAAAGAAAGAAAGAAAGAACACTCTAACACCCAAATGTCTGTCTATCTATCTATCTATCATCTATCTATCCATCTACATTAATTATCTATGGGAAAATCAAAATCAACTAGCAACAATGACTGCCTTGGAGAAGGAAGAGTTGCAATGCACTGTATTGTCTTTCTCTCTGTGCATATATTGCCTAAATATGTGTGATTTCTCTATATTTTTAAAAATTCAGTGGTAGAATGCCAGACACAGAGAGTTCAATAAATGTCAGTTCCCTTCTCTTCATCTGCTCAGCTACCTCCCTAAAAGGTACAGATTTTGGTATGTGGGCAATCTGACTTTCTCCGAGACTTTCCCGTGGTCTGTCCTAACCGCAGGTGGCATAATACCTTCCAAAGATCGAGTGGGTAAAACTAAACATAAAAAGATGAAAACAAACGTCTTGAAATTGAACACCCTCTTTAGTTTCCCAACCAAAGTTCTTGAATGAACCAGATATTTTCTAAAGTGTCCACGGCAGGGTGTGGTTCTTTGACTGTGTTACGCGTGCCCAATCCAGAGCCTCCTCCGTCTAGGAAGCCCTTCATAATTAGAATTTAAAATAAGGACTAAGGGTTAAAAAGTTAGTAATGACTAGTCATTAGGCATCAACTGTAAGGCATGGGCTATCCCAGGAGCTCTCTCATTTAATCACACCTGTTATAAGCTACATTCTACAGATGAGCACATGGAAGCCCAGAGAGGGTAAACAACTTGGCTGAAGTCACACAACTGGCAAGAGATCCAATGTCAGCATTGATGCCCTTTCCACTATGCCTTCCATCCGGATACAACCTGAGTCAATCATGCTGTATGAATTGAGCACTTACAATTGTCCGCCACTGTGTTGGGACCTGGAATTTATTATGCGTCATTCATTCTTTCATTGAACACATATTTCTGAAGCACCCACCATGTGCCTGACAGGGTAGGTGCTAGGGATACAGGGATGGACTTCATATACAAAGTCCCCGCCTTTATGGAACTTGAATTCGGTGGCTTAACTATATACCTGAATGGTATCTATCTATCACAGTGTGGCTTAGCCACATGTCTGTGTTCTTCTGCCGTGAGCAGGTGGATGGCGAAATCCTTGAGACATGGCTCAAGTATGATGCAGGCTAGAAATTACGGCTGCTCAATAGAAACAAAACTATTGTAATTCACTGTAAAAGGGAATCACTTTTGTAATTAAAATGTTTCTAACAGTCACATTAATAGTGAAAATAAATTATATTAATTTTAGTAACGTATTTTCCTTAACCTAATATAGCCGAAATGTTATCTTAACCGCTAACCAACATAAAAATTATTAATGAGGTATCTTAGCTTCTTTTTTTGGTGCTGAGACTTGGAAATCTGGCGTGCATTTTACACTTATAGTACATCTCACTTTGGGCTCACCACATTTCGAATACTCAAGAGTCACATGTACCACACCAAGAGTGAACCCTGATGTAAACTTTGGACTTTGAGTGGTGATGATGACTTTATGTACGTTTTCACTGTAACAAATGCACCGCTGGTGGGGATGCTGATCATGGGGAAATATTATTGCCAGGGTGGAGGTGGGAAGTCTTTCATATTAGCTAATGTGTGTAACATAAATGACAATAATGGCTAATGACCAACTGGCTGGTGTGTGGGATGTAATATTAATGTGTCATGTGGGGAGTAATAATGTGTGTAATATTAATAATGTGTGTAATATTAATGTGTATTAATATTAATGTGTAATATGTTAATGGTGTGTGTGTGTGGGGTGTGTGGAGGTCATGTGTGTGTATTATTATTGTGTGTATTAACTATTATGTGCTGGGTGGAGGGTGGGGAGGTCATGTGTGTGTGCCGGGAGGGCAAGGTGCATATGGGAGTTCCCTGTACTTCCTACTCAGTTCTTCTCTGAACCTTAAACTTCTCTTAAAAATAGAGCGATTTAAAAGAGAGAAGAAAGTTCTGGAGACGCTAATGGCGGTGGTTGTACAGCACTGTGAATGTAGGTAATGTTACTGAACAGTACACTTAAAAATGGTTAAAATATTAAGTGTTACGTATATTTTATCAAAATAAATTTTTTTAATGTTTATTTATTTTTGAGAGCAAGTGAGAGCCAGAGCCAGCGGGGGAAGGGCAGAGAGAGAGGGAGACAGAATCCGAAGCAGGGAGACAGAATCCGAAACGTGAACTCGGGAGCCCTGAGATCACGACCTGAGCTGAAGTCGGACGCTTTACCGACTGAGCCACCCAGGCGCCCCGTGTCACAATAAACATTTTTTAAAGAAAAAAAAAAAAAAGAAAAATGGATTTACCATATGTTTTCATTCTTGGGCATTTATCCCGGAGAAACACAAACTTGTTTCATGCAGAAACTTGTACGTGAATGTGCATGGCCGCTGTGTTCGTAATCGTTCCAAAGTGGAATCGACTAAAATGTCCCTTGATCGATGGAATGGTGAACCAACCTAGTACATCCATACAAGGGAATACTATCCAGCAATAAACAGATATAAACCATTGAGGCCTGCAATAATTAGGATGACTCAGAAGTACATTATGCTGAGCGAAAAAACAACCAATCTCAAAAGCACACATGCCACACGAGGTCCATCTCTGTAACATTCGTGAAATAACAGAAGGATAGATGGGAGGAAGGGATGGGCATCTCCCAGGAGTTGGGGAGGGATGACCAGGAAGGACTGAGGGAGTCTTGTCGCCATGGTACAGTTAAGTACCTTCACCGTGATAGCGGTTGCCCGGTGCAAGCTACGCGTATACTCACACGTGAATAGGCTCCATAGATGTACATTGTCAGCTTCCTGGTTTTGATATCGTATCACAATTGTGTCAGATGTTACCACTGGGAGAGGCTGGGTGAAGGGCACACAGAACCTTCCGGTACAGTTCCTTACACCTCGCAATGCATCTACACTTATTTTAAAATAAAAAGTGTGTGTTGTTTTTTTTTTAAAGTACTTTCCGGCATTTGACTTCGGTTCAGGTCACGATCTCACGGCTCATGAGTTCGAGCCTCACATCAGGCTTGCTGCCGTCAGCACAGAGCCTGCTTAGGATCCTCTGTCCCCCTCTCTCTCTGCCCCTTCCCCACCTCAAAAATAAGCATTAAAAAGAAGTTACAATGACCTATGAAGACCAAAAGGTGGGGCGCCTGGGTAGCTCAGTCCGTTGAGCATCCGACTTCGGCTGAGGTCATGATCTCGCGGTCTGTGAGCTTGAGCCCCACGTCGGGGTCTGTGCTGATGGCTCAGAGCCTGGAGCCTCCTTCAGATTCTGTGTCTCCTTCTCTCTCTGCACCCACCCCTCCACTCTCTGTTTCTGTCTTTCTCTCTCTCAAAAATAAATAAACACTTTAAAAAAAGAAAAAAAAGAGTACTTTCCATGCCCTATCTCCCTTGATCCTCTCAGTGACTGTGGGAAGTGACTAGTATGATTAGTCACATTTTATAGGAAAGAAAAATCAGGCCCATGGGACAAACCGCTGATTGAAGATTCCGTGGCTAGAAATAAGAAAAGGCACCTCCTTTTTGTTAGCATTGATGTGTTTACACAAGCATGTACAAGGGCAAAAAGATTTAGGGAAGCCAATTGTCAGAAATGAAGGCCTTCTATAGACAGCAAATTTGCAAAACAAAACAAGCCCCCTGGGCTCCCGCAACTTGCAACTTACGATAGACTTGCAGGTTGTAACGCCTGGTGGTTGTGACCGTCGTTTCAGCCATCTTCAGATTTACGTCAGCCCTGTAGATGCCCGAATCTTCCACCCCCAGATTACTGATCTCCAGGTTGTAGTTCTGGCGGGAGACATTTATTCGGTCATTGTAATGTTGGTGGGTCACAGTGACTTTGGGTGCTGTTCCTGGGTCTCCTGGCGTGACGAAAGCAACAGACGTCTCAGAATTCCAAGCGATGTTGATAACTTGCTGTGGTTGTTGGATGTTTAGGGGGAAAGTGACCGACTCCCCCAGGATCCCAGTCACCGGCCGGATGTCTGTGTCACTCCCAGCTGCTTCCAGACCTGGGGACATACAAAGAAAACCATAGCCATCTGACTGTACCTTTGGGAATTCCCTATCTCCCCAGACTTGAACCTCCCTGAGGATCCGCCCCAGATACAGCTCATCCAGCTTCTGGAAGTTTTTCTTCCTTTTTTTTTTTCTTTTTTTTTTAGATATTCTACTCTGCATATAATGTTATGATGGCTAAATTGGCTAAAGGGTTCTCATTCAAAAACTAAGTTTCCAGTGAGTTTCAAGGGATCTATTTCATCAGAAACGTTTGTCTAGACTTACAGACCCACATCTCTAAGAGATTTGAGGGATGACGACCATAAACCTCCAGAAGGTTCGAGAATTAAATGTCTTTCTTTCCCCAGATCATATTGCCAAGGACGGAAGAGGTGACACAAGAGCCTGGCTGCTGTGGTCTCTGCAAAAAAAAAAGTTACATTTATGCCTTTATTCTGGGAAGATACTGGCAGAGAGGGCTTTAGAGGCTCTGGAGTAAATATTCCCCAGGCTGGTGATAGGGGGAGGTCTTTTTTGTTCACTTCTAAATCTCCAGTCTCTGGAAGAGTCCATGACATGTAGTGAGTGGGTGCTTAGAAAATATTCGTGGAATGAATTAATAAATGGAATTCACCTCTGTGTTGCCTGGAATCTCTGGGAACCACTTCTGAAGTAAGCAAAATTCATTTATTCATTCATACATTTGTGAACGAATGCATGTATTTATTCAAAGTCAGCTTTATTCTAGATACTACAGCAGGTATTCATTAATTACATTTACAATACCCATGTTTGCTGACCATAATGTAAGGAGCTGGGGGATACAGTGGCGAGTAAAAATTGATAAAGTTCCTGTTCTTTTTTACAGTTAAAGGAAGAGATCAGTGTTGATCAGACACCCACAGATGCTCAGATACAAAATATTTAGTGGGCTCTCGAACAATACAGATTTGAGCTGTGAGGCTCCGCCTATACATCCATTCTTTCCATAAATGCAGTCCAGTCCTGTCGATGTATTTTCTCTTCATTATGATTTTCCTTGTTGTCTTTTTATTTTAGAGAAAGAGATCATGAGCTGGGGAGAGAGGCAGAGGGAGGGAGGGAGAGAGAATCGGGACTCAATCCCACGACCCTGGGATCATGACTTGAGCCGGAATCAAGAGTTGGACGCTCAACCAGTGGGGCTGCCCAGGCGCCCCAACCTTGAAATCGTAATATGATTTGAACAAGGGCGCGGATGTCTCCATGTTGCACCGGGTTGTGCACTTGGGGCCAGATATCCCATGGCCTTTTTAAAGTCAAGCCCTCGCACCCAAGTGCTCGTCTGGTCTGTAGATTCCAGTTACATGTGAGAACAGGATGTGGTTTCTCTCTTCCAACCCCAGGAGTGTGGAGGCAGTTTGTGAAGACGAGCCAGGGCTAGAGTTCATGGTAATTGTGCCACCACAGAGTGGAGGGTGTGTGATGCTGTTTTTCAAACACGATTTCGCCCCCAGAGCAAGTTGCTCCGGAAGTGATGCCGGTGTATCATATGGTGATGAGGCAGGCGCACAGGTAGGTAGGTGGAGCTGGTGAGGATCCCAGGCTCGCTAAGGAAAGGCCCAGGGCTCACACACGCACCCGACGCGGCCTCTGCCACCTTCAGACCCTCCAGCTGTGGTCTCAGAGAGGTGGCCACCGTGCACCGCACAGAGTGGAAAGATAAGGAGGCTGAAGATGTAGGAGCTGGCACTGCAGCTTATCAGCCGGACAACCTTCACAAAGTCACAAAACCTTTCTGGGTCTCGGTTGCTTCATCCGTAGAATGGAAATAATAACCCTAGAACCTGTGCTACCTAATTAGTGATCAGCAAACCAGATCACAGACACACAGATACACATAACTCTCCTTTGAAAAATGAGGTAGTAAATGGTAAATTCAAGTGAATGTAGAGACAGTAATTACAGTAGGAATCTAAAGAAGGGAGAGATCACTGAGCTACAGAGGTTAGGGAAAACCTTTTAGAGAAAGCAGAATTTGAGGAGGACCTTGAAAGAGGGAATAGAATTTTACTGCATAAAAAGGGGAAGGGTGGGTGTCTCAGGTCTTTGGGCCCTGAATAAAAGTTCTGAAGCAGAAAAACATGCGTGTGGGTTGCATGAATATGGATTTGCATAACGGAGTAGAAAGAGATAAGGTGGAGATATATATCTGGTTTAGATATGAGGCAGCTTATACCACAGAGGGGAACTATTAAAGTTTTTGAGAATGAAGATTAAAATGATATTTTTGCGTCCTAGTACTACGGTAATGATGTGTAGGAAGAATAAGAGGAAAGAGAAGCTGGGCTTGAGAGACCATCTTGGAGGCCATGGTAGCCATCTGCACATGAACCTGAGAGTGAAAATGCGAACGGAAAGGAAGTGCGGAATTTGAGAGATAACGCAAAGAAAGGCAAGGAATAAGGAGGAATCTGAGAGAATTCAACCGCTCAACAATATGTTTGTGGGCATCTACTTTGTGTCAGTGAAAACTGATAGATACTGGAACGCTAAGTTTATGCTGGAAAAAAGTCCAAAGGAGAAAACAGATTTAGTGTCAGAAGTGTTGAATTTGAGATGATGGTGGACCATCTCAGTAAGTAGTTGGAAGGATGGAAGGTAAGGAAGGAGAATGGGCTCAAAGTATTGCCTGGGGACTATGGCAGAATCTGCCCGTCATTTCCAATATGTGTTCTCTCCCTCATTCTTAGCAAGAGAATGCCTAATTTTTAGCAGGGGATATGGTCATTCAGGATAAAGGTTACATTGCCCGGTGCTCTGCTAGCTAACTTTGGTCATATGACTAAGTTCAGGTCAAGGGGATGAGAGTGGAAGTGTCGTATACGACTTCTGTGTCTTTAAGAAGAGGGCGTTTTGCTCTCTCCATCTCTTCCTTGCTTCTTGCAGGCTGGGATGTTATGACAGCCGGATCTTAGACACACATTTTGTATCAAGAAGAGGAAGCCAAGTGCTGAGGACAGTGGATCAGGAAGGCTGAAAAAGTATCCCTCACAACTTTGTCAACGATTCAGTCAATGGAGCTGTCAGCTCCAGACTTTTTCAGATGAGCAAGAAATAAACTTCTTTCTTTAAGCCGCCCTTCTTTTTGAGAACTGTCACTTGCCATTAAACTGAAATCTATGTGGTTTGGGAATCATCCGCAAAGAGGAAGGGATGGAAGGAGAGGTGAGCCACTCAGGAAGAGTAAGGCTGAAGTCCAAGGTTGCTTTGTGAACAGTGCTCACAGCCATAGAGGAGGCACTACCAAAAAAACCTAAATAGACCAAGTGGCAAGAGAGGCACCAATACTGGACAGTATCATGGAACCCGAGAGGAGAAAGAGTCTCAAGAACAGATGTTTAGTGATTCCGAGTGTTCAAGTGGAATAAAGACTGAAAATAGACCTTGGCTTTGTCCACTAGCAGGTTGTGGATGGCCTTTAAGAATGTAGTGCAAGTAAGATGATTCAACTGGAGGCCAGAGTCTAGAGGACTGAGAATAGAATAAGTGGTAAAAAGTGGAAAATCCTGATCATGAAAGAAAGGGGATAAAATAGAATGGTAGCTACAGAATTAGGTAAAACTAATTTATTTGATTTTTGTCTTAAAATAGAAGAGGTGTCTACATGTATATGGTCAATTAATTTCGGACAAAGAAACCAAGGACATATAATAGAGACAGGACAATCTCCTCAATAAATGATGCTGGGAAAACTGAACAGCCACACACAAAAGAATGAAACTGGACCACTATTTTATACCATAAAGATGAACTCAAAATGGATCGAAGTCTTGGATGCAAGACCTGAAACCATAAAACCTAGAAGGAAACATACGTGGCAAGTTCCTTGAAATCAGCCTGAGTGATGTATTTGTGAATGCAACACCAAAGGCAAAGGAAACAAAAGGAAAAATAAACAAATGGAACTACCTAGAATTAAAAAGCTGCTGCACAGTGAAGGAAACCATCATCAAAACACAAAGGAAACCCACTAATGCAAGAAGGTATTTACAAATCATATATCTCCTAGGGGGTTAATATCTAGTATATATAAAGAACTCATACAACTCAACAATGAAAAAAACAAACAATCTGACTAAAAAATGGTCGGAGAATCTGAATAGAGACTTTTCCAAAGAAGACATAGATGGCCATAGGTACGTGAAAAGATGTTCAACATCACCAATCATCAGGGAAGAGCAAATCAAAACCACATCTATTAGAATGGCTATTATCAAAAAGACAAGAAATAACACGTGCTGAAGAAGAAGAGAGAAGGGAACCCTCATACACTGTTGGTGGGAATGTAAACTGGTGTAGCCTTTATAGAAAACAGTATGGGGATTCCTCAAGAAATTAAGAATGGGAACTACCATACGGTCCAGCTATTCCACTCCTGGGTATTTAGCTGAAGAATATGAAAGCGCTGATTCAAACAAGATATATGCACCCCTCTGTTCATTGCAGCATTACTTACAATAGCCAAGATAGGGAAATAATCTAATTGTCCATCAATGGATATGAATGGTGATGGGTTACTACCCAGCCATAAACAAGAATGAAATCTTGCCGTCTGCAATGGATGGACCTTGAGGGTATTATGCTAAGTGAAGTAAGTCAGAGAAAGACCAATACCGTACAGCTGCACTCGTATATTAAATCTAAAAAAAAAAAACAAAACAACAACAAAACAAATACTACAAAAACAAACTCATTGATATAGAGAACAGATTGATGGTTCCCATAAAGGGTTGGAGGGTGGGCAAAATGGGTGAAGGTCAACGACACGGTGATGGACAGTAACTAGAGTTCTGGTGGTGATACTTTGTAGTGTATACGGATGTCAAATCATAGTGTTGTACCCTTGGAACTTATATAATGCTATATACCAATTTTATCTAAAAAAAAAAAAAAA